TTAAATTTATACTTTGTGTACATGTGTTTGCATGTGCTGTTTTTAATTGCAAATTTTAATAGTTCATTGCTGGTATATAGGAAAGCAGTAGACTTTTGTATGTAAACTTTGAATCTCGTGACCTTGCTATAAGCACTTAGTAGTTCCAATAGGTTTTTCGTCAGTTTGGGGACCTTATAGACAATCATATCATCTGTGAATGCAGTTTTCTCTTTCTCTTGGTATACTTTTCATTTCCTTTTCTTGTCTTATTACATTAACTAGGATTTCCAGTACAATGTTGAATAGGAATGATAAAAGGGGACATCCTTGTCTTGTTCCTTATTAAAGAAAGCATTCACTTTTTCACTTTGTAATGTTAGCTTTAGGGTTTTGAAGATTTTCTGTATTAAGTTTTATAGATATTTATTTTTTTTAATGTGCAAACAGTTTTTGTCACAAATGAGTTTGCAATGGATTTTGTCAAATGCCTTTTCTGCATGTATTCTGATCCTGTGATTTTTCTTTTCTAGTTTATTGATGTGATGGATTGCATTAATTCACTTTCAGATGTTGAACAAGTCTTACATGCCTGTAATAAATTTCATTTGGTTGTGGTGCATAATTATTTTTATATATTCTTGGATTTGCTAATATCGTATTAAGGATTTTTTTTTTTCCTTTGTATCTATGTTCTTGAGAGACTGGTTTGTAATTCTCCTTTGTTGTAATGTCTTTGTCTGGTTTTGGTTGGTAGAGAATTGGTATCATTTCTTCCGTAAGTGTTTAGTAGAATTCACCAGTGAAACCATCTCATCCTAGTGCTTTCTGTTTTGTAAGGTTAATTGCTAATTAAATTTTTTTATAGATGTAAGCTTGTTTGAATTATCTGTATCTCCTTGTTTGAGTTTTGGTAGACTGTGTCTTTCAAGAGATTGGTCCATTTCATCTAAGTTAACAAATTAGTGGGCATAGAGTTATTCATAATATTCCTTGATTATCCTTTTAACGTCCAGGAGATCAATCTGTAGTGATGACTCATGTTTCAATTTTGATATTAATAAGTTTTGTCTTTTCTTTTTTTCTTGGTTAGCCTGACTGGAGATTTATCAATTTGATTTTTTCCAAGAACCAGCTTTTGGTTTCATTCAATTTTCTATTTTATTGTTTTCACCTTCATGGATTTCTGCTAGAACAGAATTTGGAATTTTTATTCTCTTTGCTTAATTCCCTCTTCTTTTTTTTAGTTTCCTAGCTTAGATTATTACTTTTGTATCTTTCATCTTTTCTAAATGTATTTAATGCTATAAATTTCCAAGTACTGTTTTTGCTGCATCTCACAAATTTTGATATGTTGTATTTTCATTGAGTTCAAAATATGTTATAATTTCTCTTGAGACTTCTTTGATCCATGTGATTTTAGAAGTATGTTGTTTAATCTCCAGATGTTTGGGGATTTTCTAGCTACTTTCTGTTGATTTCTAATTTAATTTTATTGTGATCTAAAAGCATACTTGGTATGATTTCTGTTCTTTAAAATCTGTTAAGGTATGTTTTATGGCCCAGAATCTGGTCTGTCCTGGTGAATGTTTCATGTAAGCTTGAGAAGAATGTGTAATGTATAAAATGGGTTTCACCAGGAGCCAATCAAGGTATCTGCAGGGCTGCACTTCCTCTGGAGTCTCTAGGGGAGACTCTATTTCTTTGCTGGTAAAGACCAGTAAGTTGCTAGAGGCTGCTTGCATTCCTGGACTGATAGCTCCTTCTCCCATCTTTAAAATGCATCACTCAACCTTTGTTTATGTGGTAACATTTCCTCTCTTTCTCTGATTCTTCTTCATTCCTTTTTAAAGGACTCCAAGTGATTACATTTTGCACACCTGATTAATCCAGGATAATCTCCCTATCCAAAAGTTGTAACATAATCCTATCTGCAAAAATATCCTCCTGTGGCTGGCTAGTGGCTACTGTGTTAGATAGCACAACTCTGTAATTTTTACCATTCCACCAAAGTGCTCTTAGAGAACTTGAATGCAAATGATAAAGATGGGTTGTCTGAAATGAAAATTCTCCTAACAATTTATATTGACTTAATTTTTGGTTTCTCTCTTTGTGGACACAAAGGTAAGGACTAAATGATAATACATTTTAGGGAGTTTTATGTCATTATGAGCAATTACAGATAGAACAAACCTGCTAGATACTATTCTTCCAGTCACTGGACAGCGTAGTTAATAGTAAAAAGCCTTGATAGTTTTATTTTGTCATATTCCTTTACTCCTAGGAATATGTTGTAAGAATTTAACTATTATCACAGGCCACTATAATAAACTACTGTGAGAAACCGCATTTGGGTAGTGTTTTCATCACCCTGGCAAATTTAACTGCATTTCTATGTAGTTTATGTAAACCCCACCCATACTTTAACCTGCTTCCCATTTCAATGAGGTTCAATCAGGGGAAAAAGCAACAACAAAAAAATCTTCCTGTGTGGCCTGTAGATATCAGATTTGAAGATTATTAATGCATTTCCAGCTAGGGACCATAAGCAAACAAACTCTCCTACAGATAACTACACCCTTCCTGTTCGGGATTGAGTTTACTGTGGAACAGATTTCGGAAATAGGTTTCTGACAGTTGTGAATTTTATTTATAAAATGTTGGAGGGTGAGGCTCTTCCTTTAACAAAAAACTAATTATTTCCTGTCCAATGTCCAACCAGTACATTTTAAACAGTCTTTTAGAAAATTTCCCCTTTCATAGAGAATTATGTTGCTTTGGGCAGTTCTGGTTGTTCTCGTCAGCTAACATACAAAAATTTGCCTGTTTCAATGAATAATTCAAAAAGGACTTACAATTAAAAAAGAAAATAGTCTTTAAATGCTTGTATTATCTTGTCTCCAGAGTGACAGTAGTTTACAGTTTAAATAAATGCATAAACACATTTTAATGTGTTTTTATCTTTGATATGCAAATGTGTAGCATATTTATGTTCAGTAAATATACTAAACGAAGAGTTACAGTTTAGGTAAAATGGATTTACATTAAAGAATCTGCAGGTTAATTCACAGTGTAACATTATCCTCATCTACTACATCTGTTATAAAGAAGCCTGTAAAATTTAGGCCACCCACAAAGTGGTCTGCTGAGGCCTGTGGTTGATGTTAGAATGCTGTTATTATGTGGGCTGACTGGTTTGGTAAGGAATTTACCTCCACTAAGACTGAAACATCATGGTTCTGACTTTCCCCCATGGGGACTGCATTGGCTTGACTTCGGTACTATGTGTTTGTTAAACCAGCCAGAGTGCTCTATTGCCTTGCCATCACATATAGTATCATGTGAATGGTGTACTGTTCTCTCAGTTGGTTTGTTAGAGTAGTAATATCAATTCCGGGCCACATAAACCTTAGGATAAACTGGAATAAATGGTTGTTTAGATAGCTGAATTAAATTTAATGGCTACTATGAGTATATTTCATCACTATTTAGAAAAACATGCGTGTTGGGGGGGCTGTTCTGTGTTCATTGAAGAACTTATTCTTTTAATTTCCTTGGGGCTTGTGGAATGGTTTTAAGAGCAAGGAAATGAATTTAGTATAATTCAGCAACCTAGCACTAAGTCAGAATTAAATATTCTTCTTTAAATAGCTATTTTTAAGGGGAAAAATATTTCAGACATTTAAAATATAATAACAGCAACTACCACAACAACTAGTAGTGATCATTGGAGGAATAAAAACTCATAAGCCAAATGTCTCAAATCACTTCTTTCTAAAGTTTTTCAAAATGAAAAAAAAATTCTTTTGCAGAGAATAAACATGATATATTGATTGTTTTTGTTAAATTTAGAAAAATTAAAATTCATGTAACAGTTCTTTTAAATCAGATAATTTGTATTTCACTTAGTTTTCATGGATACTTAATTATAATTTTTCTTTAAATACATGAATTACATAGTATGGAAAATAGCAAAGAAATCTAAATTGCATTTTGTGACTACAAATTAAGGAAATGATATTTACTGGGGAGAATACTTAGCAATTTTTGGACAAGGAAAAATATCTCATTGTCACTGAAAAGGATTATATGTACATACTGAAGTAAAAAATACATATTGAGGTAGAAAATTTATATGCATGTATACACATGTGTATATATATATATATATATATATATATGTGTGTGTTTATATATACATACACATGTATACACATGCATGAACTTGTGTGTTTAACATTGTTTTGATCTTAACTCTGCCTTGGTGACTTTGTGGTTAAATAGAACTTGCAAAGGTCTTTTTGTTTTTGTTTTTGTTTTTTTACTTTTTTTAAAGTTTATTTTGAGAGAGAGAGAGAGAGAGAGAGAGAGAGAGAGAATGGGGGAGGGGCAGAGAGGGCGTGGGCGGGGGACAGAGGATCCAAAGTGGGCTTTGTGCTTCCCCAGAGAGGCCAGTGTGGAGCTCCAACTTACCACCAGTGAGATCATGACCTGAGCTGAAGTTGGACGTTTAACCAACTGAGCCACCCTGGCACCCTGAAAAGTTTTTTCAAATAGATACTTTTTGTCTTTTGTTTTTTGTTTGTTGTTTCGTCTTTTTGTTTGTTTGTTGTTTGTTGTTGAATTTGTCATCTGGTCATGATTCAAACAAATAATCCAAAGTTAGGGCTCAGAAACTTTTTTCTTCCAAACAAGCAAATGAGTGAAGCCATGAATGTGCCTTACCTAGCAAGCCTTTGTTCTTTGATGTCCTTTTAGTGTACTGCCTGATGCTGACAAATGCCATGCCTAACTTCTATAGTCAGTGACATGGTATATCAATGTTTTTCTACTCATTATCTGCAAATCTCAGAAGTTTACATAGCATCTGACAGTAGTAACTACTCAAGGGTGAGGAAGGTTCAATTATATTGTGTCTCCCTTTATGAATTTAGCATCGTAATTCTGCAAACTGCATTAGCTCAATGTTGGGCTAATTATTTTTACTTTTAGCTAACCACAATGTATTTTCACCTTTCTAGGTTTACCGACAAGACTGTGAAACTTTCGGGATGGTTGTGAAAATGCTGATTGAAAAAGATCCTTCATTAGAAAAGTCTATACAGTTTGCATTAAGACAGAATTTACATGAAATAGGTGAGAGGTGTGTTGAGGAACTCAAACATTTCATTGCAGAGTATGACACCTCTAGTCAAGATTTTGGAGAGCCTTTTTAGAAAATTGCTCAGGCAAAAAAATGTTTCTAGATTTTTTTTTTTTTTTTTGGATTGTGTAAATCCTTAATATATAGAATTTTTGTGATGAAGAGAAATACTTTATGATAGTCGACCACATTTCCGATATCAAATAAACATCTAAAATAGTTTAAGATATTTTAATTAGAATTTTTTAAATCCACATGTAGAGCCTCCTAATCCATACTTACCTTTTATCCCCCTAAAATGATGGGTCAGTTAATTTTTCAAGCTTTGAAAAAGCAGTGTTGGAGAACAGCTCATGTTCTGTAGTCTTCGGTATGCGATCATTTGTTTTGGTCACATAGTGTAATTTATAGGTTAGAGATCATTCCACTTAAACATTAATAGTCTTTTTGCATTTCATAGTCAGTGATACCATGTGAAAATGTTAGAATTCTGAGTTGTGATTTTATTGACTTGTTGCTTGCTTGTTTTAGGCTTTGTAACTTTTAATATGTTCAAGTATACTGTCCAAATAAACTGAATACTCCAGTATTTTACAGAATATTTGCTTTAAGATTAATTCCCATTATGATAAAATAGAGCACTTAAATCTTAAAAAGACTTCATAGTAAAATCCTGTTTTCCAAGTAAATCAACTCAATGTCTTCTATTAAAATAATCCTGAAACTCCTGACCAGTCTCACAGATGTCTGAGTCTTAAACAATATCATATGTAAAACTAAGAGAAGGGGCAATTTGAGATGAAAGATGAGAGCTATTTTCAAGTTGAGATTTCTTTAAAAACTTCTAATTGAGAGGCATTCACTTTCCAATGTCCCCTCTGTAAAGAGAGCTTTCATACTATTTTTACTTTCTGATTTTATACTCTAATAAACTTTTGCCTGCTGCTCTAAATAAATAAATAAATACTTATCATTGAAATAGAAAAATTTCGAATATGATGAAGTAGTGGAATTTCATTTTTTTCCCAGGCCCATATTTCCCATCTCAAGAAAAGGTCATTGATACCATATCCACGATCAAACCATTTACAGATTCCTTTGTTAATCACATTATGCCTTTATTTATATCTGTTTGTAGTTGTAACAAGATCTTTGTTGTGTTGCCCTTTTTAGGGATCGTTAGCCCTCAAAAGTGTTCTTTAAAGAAACAAAGCAGAGTAGGCAGTAAGCCCAGCACAACTACCCCTCACCAAACAGTCTATGTAAACATTTCTCCATGAGTGAGCCATCCAAATCACGGGTTACTTAAAAATCTAACTGGGACCATTAGGATATTCCACTCATTTCCTGATCACTTCCAGCTGCCCAGTGGCATTTAGCCAAAATATGTATTTCTGTGGCATTAGGAAACCTTAAAAATCATGCTTGTTATTACTACCCAGTTTCATTATCCTCCCATCCCTCTTTCCATTTCCATTCTCTTCTCACTTGAATTCTGGCATTATCTTTAGTGGCTTATATTGATATTATCTAAAGAGCTACCCCAGAGTAGATAAAAATTACATTAAAAGTGGAATCAGCAGTACAAATAATTTTGGTGGATCCTATATGGGTGCCTCAAAATATGTATTGTCTCATTCCACAAATGTAAAAACTAATTGAACATAATTATTTTTCTTAAATTTCCTATATGAGACTGCCTTGAACTCTTACTTTTGCCATTTAGATGTACATAAGCTAAAACTAAACCCTACATATCACCTCTGGTATTCTTTCCTAATTACGAACAGTGATTTTGTTACCCACTTTAGAAAGAAAAGACTAAGAAAGTACTGATCTTGGTTCTCCCCTACCCCCATGTTTTTCTTTTCCTTAAATATTCTAAGTCCAGGATTCAATTTCTTTAGTCAAGATGTTTCATGTTTAAAAATAAAAGTTAAGAAACTACCATCAAGGCAAATGAGTTGTTCATTCTGTTGAAATTCATAAAACTAGAAATTCATTAAGCTAGAGGTTTTGCTTACAGATGCATTTAATTGTAGGTTCAACAGATAATTTCTTCTTCTCTCCTTTCCCCAAATTATATTCAACATTTAAAGCTCTTTATAGCTTGCCATCAACGTTATTCTGGTAGGCTTGTCAGTGTTAATTGTTTGTTTTTGACAGCTTTTTAAAGTCCAGTTTTAGGATAGTTGAATTCAGATGTGTACGAGAGTGTGTATTTTACAAAATGTTCTTGATTAATTTGTTTGTAAAGTATCCATTGTTTTTGAGTATGCCGCGCTGATATGATAAAACTTTCATTGTCTTACCATAAAGCCTTGATGATCAACAGGGAGAAAGCAGATAGTGTGAAGCTTTTTGTGAATTTTAAAAGTGCAAAATAAAGCAACCAGGTTTAAATAATTGGATTGTCTTTTTTTTTTCCTCTTTAACAGGCTTATTTTCCTGAAATGTAGATTTTTATTACTCCCTACTGCAAGATTACTCAATGTTCAGTTCACCCACTCAGCAGCAGGATGGAAGAATTGAGAAATTATTAACTTTGGTGACTTAAGGAGTGTTGATATCTGAGCAAGCAGTTAAATGAGATAAGATTGAACACACAGAAGTGCTCAGTAATTGTGTAATTATGAATCTGCGTTTCAGGGAATTGTAGGATTAAAATCTTAACCTTTTTATGGAACCTCTGGAGGAACCGTGTCTTTGGGACCTGGTTCCTAGCACAGTTTGGAATGTTGTAGTTGTATTCCTTGACACTTCACAAAAGAAGTGACATTTGACCATAGGTCTTGGAGAAATAGGACTTATTCAGGCAGAAAAGGGGAAGTAATAGAAGTCTAGGAAGAGGAGAATGGTACAGGGAAAGATGGAAGCCTGTATGACTGAAGCCGGTTGGGAAAGATGTTAGGGGACAAATTTAGGAAAAGATTGGTTAACAGAATGATTTTGAATGTTTTTAGCTTTATCCTTTTTCTTCTACTCATTCAAGAATGACATTTGAAAATACTCTCTTTGAAGATATTACCTTTGTATTTATTCTTGCCCAAAACACTAATTTCCCACAGCCTCTCAGCCGCTTACCAACTCTGAGCCAGTTTATAGATCCAGAACACCTCGAAGAAAGGGCAGGCCAGCTCCCCTTCAGAAAGGATTCTGCTTGCACCCCAGACATTGTATAGTGGTTTCAGCTTCATTTCAGAGTTTCCTGCAAGGGACCCTAAACTCCAAAGAAGGCTCTGACAATTCTTTGGTGACAACTTTGGAGACTGTATTCAGTGTCGAGGGCATCCAGCCACCCAGGTGGCTTGACAGCTATAATGCTCAGGTTGGCACACTCTGCTTGCCAGATGAGGGTTTGTGGTTATGCATAGTACGTTTACCGTCTCCTTCCTGCATTTTCTCTTGAGAGCACTGATGTTCAATTCAGTGAAAAAGGTGGGGAAGTGGGAGGAGGAAGGAAGACTAGTAATAGTAACTAAGGCAGTTAGCAGAATCTTTTCTCCCCCTTTTCATGTAATGGAGTTGAAATTGAGTCACATGACTGCTAATTAGGATTTTATTTGCTGTGTTCCCCCTTGCAGTTAGGTGTAATCAAGTGACTGAGTCCATTCCTATGGAATTTGAGTGGAAGTACCTCTTCTTCTGGGCTGGGACCCTTAGGACAGTGGATGTGCTCCTTTGTAGTCTCTCTCTATTCCTTCCCAAAGTAGTAGCAATAGCAACTCAGCCTTGATTTGCTGCAGAGCCACAAGATGGAAGGAACTTGGATCCCTACATGACCACATGGAGTACTGAACTGTTGGGTGAAAGAGGAATAAACGTGTTCACTGTTTAAGCCACATTATTGGTTTTTTGTTAGCAGCTTACCTTTGGTTCAAATTAATGCAAATGGTATTTCAGAGTTAGCTTCACTGAAGTTGGTTCTCAGCAGGCTGTACTAGTCCTGCCTTTCCATTGTAATAATTGATCTTGGGGTAATGGGGACTGAGTATATAAAAGGCTTTGCCAAGGGGCGCCTGCCTGGCTCAGTCTGTGAGGCATCTGACTCTGGATCTTGGGGTTGTGAGTTTGAGCCTCACATTGGGTATGCAATTAAAAATTAAACATATGATACAATGAAAAATACAATGAAAAAAAAAAAGGCCAGTCCACTGAGTTAATTCCAAGTTGTATTTAAAATCTCACTTGATGACAAATATCAATAAAGCCTGATGCACATTTGTATAGCGGTAGAGACAGCCCGATAATATATAGCACATTGTTTTTTGAGCTCTGTTCCACAGACTAATAGTGTGCTAATGTTAGACCATTATCACTGAAATTATATAAGGCTTAAAGTTTTTTTTCATTTTTTTGTGTGTGAATGAAAATGTAGAAGTTTACTGAAATATAAACATTTGAGAACATATCAAATAGGAAAAAACCACAACATACACAGACACTTGCTGCAAGAGGACGTGTGAGGTATGTTACCACCGCCTAGGCTACCCATGTGTTAGCACATTTTTCCTGATTGGAATCCATGTAAGGTGGGAAGGGGACAGAACTGCCCTGGCTGACTGGCCATACAGCCTGCAGGTCTGCACCTTCAGTGAAAGCCCCTCTTGGCCCAGTTCCTGGGGGCACCTGTTGGCACCCCTACTCTTGGGTAGAAAGGCGGAGACCCTGCTGTTTTCCTTGAGGGTAGGGAGGGCTCACTGTGTGGGTAAGGCTGGATAAGCTGCCTGGGGAAAGGGAGAGGATCCAGTGACCAGAAAGTGTGCTGTCCCTTCATCCTCCAAGTGGGAAGAGTCCATCCTTTGTGATCAAACCCCTGAGAAAGACACACTGGCCAAACGTCTGCAGTACCTTTAAGTGAGCCCAGCACGGCCAACTGGGTTCCTCTCTGTCACCAGATCCCAGGTGCCCTCCTCTGCCAACAGCCTGTGCTTGCCTGGTGGGGAAGGCGGAGAAGGCTTCTGAGGCCGAAAAGGGTCAGCCCCCAGTGGATGAGAAAGTGTGTGTGCATTGTGTGTTGTGGGGGGCCATGGGAGGGGAGAGAAAACTCAGTCCAGCAGAGCTGTAGCTTACCAGGCCAAGGTATCTGTT